ATCTTATTGGGTTTTTCACTCATTTATGAGGAAATACAAAGGAGCCCCCTCCAATTCAGGCCATAACCAAAAACTGGCTTTTAACCCTAACAGTGACATAGCTGACTCTGAAGGTCTCTTCTTGCTATGTTTAAGGGAATCCACAAGGAGGCTCAACAGCCATGGGAAGCTACACAATTAAATCCCCATGATCCTTATTAGTGCCACAGTACCCCCAGCTCTACCTCAAGGGCTTGGCTTCTCTTAACCTCAATACTTAAGACTCTGTCTAGGGGCTGGGGGTTTAGCTCAGCGGCATAAGCACCTGCCTTGAAAGCAGGCAGTCATGAGTTCGATCCCTGGTACCAATAAAAAGGAAAAAGACAAAAAAAAAAAAAAAAAAAAAGACACTGTCTTGCACAGTGGGGAAGACGGTTCAACATCTCTGTATATAGGGGCTGGGGATTTAGCTCAGCAGCATAAGCGCCTGCCTTGCAAGCAGGCAGTCGTGAGTTCGATCCCTGGTACCGATAAAAATGAAAAAGACAAAAAAAAAAATCTCTGTATAGAATCTACTATGTATGGGTCAAAGGTCCTACAATTCAACTGCCTGGAAGACCCAATGTGGGGGGCGTCCCTTGACTACTACTTGAACACACCCTTTGTCTAATTCTTCTCATCTAAGATGGGTCTAGATGATGTGCATGCAGACATCAGATGATGGGCCCCTGTACTAGATATGCAGAACACCCACACAGGCTGCACTTCCCTCAAACAGGTCAGGGACTTGTGTATGAGGGACAATCTATTCATCCTTTCTACTTCCACCTGCCAAGGAAGAACAGCTGGGGTCCAAGTGTATGGGGATAGGAAGACACACAGAAAATGCTCTAACCTGAAAACTGGCAATTGGAAAGACGACAAATGGCCCCCTGAAAACATAATTCAGTATATGGTCCTGGGACTACTGCAGCACCTCCATTTATAGGCTAAAACTGCATAGTTAAGTGACAAGCAGCTATGGGAATTATAACTAATTAAATTGCCAAAACTCTTGTTAGCCCAGCAGAGACCAAAATCTATATTACTATCTATCAAAATCACTTGGCTTTATTATCTGCTTACTTTCGAGGAAAGGGTTTGTGGGAAATTTAAACTAAGCAATTGCTACCTACAAATAGATGATGAAGGAAAGGTCACAGAGGAGATTACGGATCAAATGAGGAAAACTGTTCATGTTCCAACCCTGACCTGGAAAGACTGGGACCCTGGGGGACTGCTTGTGGAATGGTTTTCAACTCTCAGAGAGTTCAAAACCCTCATAGTTACACTCCTGCTTTGGGGAACCTGTCTGATCCTGCCCTGCCTGGCTCCCTTGGATATACACTCTGTCTACAGCCTCACTGAAATAACAGTCAAAAGAAAAATGTCTGATCTTCCAATGATGCTACAAAGAAAATATAAATTCCTGAACTTATGACTCAGGATGGTCTTTTTTTTTTTTTTTTTTTTTTCTTTTTTTGAGACAGGGTCTCTCTATGCAGTTCAGGCTGGCCGTGAGCTCACTTTGTAGCCCAGGCTGGTCTCAAACTCACAAGGATCCTCCTGCCTCAGCCTCCCGAGTGCTGGGATTACAGGCGTGAGCCACCACGCCCTGCTCCAGGATGGTCTTTGACTTAAAATAAAACGGGGTCTTATGTTTTTATGGGTTTTGTTTCCCTTCTCTTTAAAATAAAATAAAACAAAATGGGGTCAGAGCAGGGGGAATGTGATAAGGCCCTCTCAAAGTGCCAGGGCAGAAATATTTTACAATGCAACAATATCAGCCTCAGTGGCTACAGATGTACTTTTGATGTTACTCTGTAGCATAAATGATATATAACCAGAGTATGGAATGTTACTATACAGTGTATCCCTATAAGGGAGACAAAGACACAAAAATTGTATAAAAGGGTATAACTATGCCATGTTCACAGGTCAGCCTGTAGATAGGAATTCAGAGTCAGAGATGGCCAGAATAAAGCAGCTTCCTGGGAAAAAGGCATCAGTGTCCCATCTCTACACGAAAATCCCACAGGATAAGTTTTTAGCAAAGCGGTCAGGTAATCTTCAAACTCATTTACGGATTGTCACTGTACACAACCTATACTCCAACCACACAGGGCTATTTGCCATTTCCTATACTTCTGTTTGCTAGTATATACTTCCTATACTTCTATTCTATTTGTTAATATTTTTCTTCTTCTCAGCATCTGGCAAAAATACCTTAAACACAGTAGCTCAATAAGCATTTGGTAGAAGAATTCATACCAATTAAGACTGAGGACGTAGCTTAGCTGTAAAGCACTTGCCTAGCAGGTACAAGGCTCTGAGTTCAATCTCTGATACAATGTAAAAAAAAAAAAAAAAAAGCTGGGCATACTGATACACACCTGTAATCCCAGCACTCAGAAGACTGAGGCAGAAGGATCACCCTGACTTCAAAGCCAGCCTGAGCTACATAGTTGGTTTGAGGCAACCCTAAACTACATAATTAGTTCAAGCCCACAATTACACAGTGAGATTCTGTTTCAAGAAAACAAAAAAGAAAAGAAAAAGAATTCATATCATTTTTCACATTCCAAGTAATATTTTTAAAACTTCAAAGTTTGTACCTATTTAAATTTTGTTCTTTACTTCTATAAATGTAATTAAAAATTCTAGGGCCAGAGATTTAGCTCAGTGGCTCAAGCACTTGCATGGTAAATGTGAGGTCATGAGCTCAACCTCTGGTACCAAAATAAAAAAAAAAAAAAAAAATTCTGTAACTGTATTGTAATCTGATACTATATTTATTTTCATATTTTCTTTATATTTTGGTTTAAAAAGATATGAATTTGTGTGAAACTATTATTAAAGTACATTAAATACTTTCTTATATTTTTGGTCAATTTTTATCTAAAACTTAAATAAACATATTTGAAAAGATATCATGAATTTTCTCCCATCATCACTGGATTCTAATACCCATGAAGACAAGAAAGAAGTCTGTCTTTTTTACTGTATTCTTTGCACTTCTTATGTGTGTGCACGTTAGCCCAGTCAACATTTATAACTGTCTTCAATTTCACTCTTTTCACTGCTGCTAAATTAAAAAATACACATTAAGGAACTGCTAGGTCATCCATAAGAGAACAATGAGTAAAAAACATGTATAATAGTCAATTTATCACAGCAATAAATATTGAGTCTCTAATATGAATCCAGATGCTCTGCGAGTGGACTATAAACATAATTCTTACCCTTGAGGCCTAGGAACACATGCAGGTTAACAAATAACTTTGATATGGGACACTAAAAGAACGACATGGAAATAAGAGTGAAAAATCTAAATTGGTAAGAAGTCTCCTTAATCTACAGAAGAAAATCTTTTTAAGGCGGACAGGATCAAAAATAATCAAGATATGATTTATATACACCAATTCCCAAAAATGAAGTAAATATTATGTGTCATAAACTTTATAAACCCAGAAAAATCCTTTTTAGGATATGGAAACCAAAACCCATACAAACTACGTTAACTTGTTCAAAATCACAAGGCTACAGGTCACAAAGCAAGATCTGTTTCATTACATACTTACTGTTACTACTGTGCAGCACCTCACAAAGGAATAACAGGAGATTTACAGAGTCATAACATAAAATTAGGGGATTTAATCATTATAATTCCATCTCCAATTTAAAATAAATAATTAACAACTGTGCAAAACTGTGAAAAGTTACCATGTAGTTCAAATAGCTAACTGACCGGCCTATAAAAGAATGCATGCTACACAGTGATTAATTATAGTTTACCAAAGAGATTTAAATGATCCAATCTAATTAGTATAACTTATAGACAAGTAAAACACTATTAAGAGGTACTTAAAGTTCTGTATCAAATCTTTTTTTAAAAGGGTCCAAAAACAAGAATCTAATGGCATTTATGAGCACTTTCCAAAGCAGTAAGACCCTAAGCCTATAGATTTAAGAATTAAAGTCAGTAGACAGATACTTTCTCTTAAGGGCCATAGTTGGCTCTTTAGACTTTCCACGTCTCTCAAGACTACCCAATTACATGTGACTACCAAGCAACCATTCAGTGTCTTCACTGGCACTATTACCACACTTCTCTTGATCCTACCATCTGACTTTGAAATATTAGATTATTTAATCCTCCCTATGTTATAAATTAATAAGTTTACATTCTAAATTACACATCAGTTTTTGGTTGTTTACTTAGCAGGAAATAACCTAAAAATCTGCTCAATGCTAAAGATAGTATATTAAAAAAAGTTTAAGAGCCTGAAAATTTTAAAGACCACAATTTAAATCAACGATTGAAAAAAAAAAATGGGGGCCATTACTTCAGTACCTGAGGCAAGAAGATTGCTGGAAGTTGGAGGCTAGCCTGGGCTACACAGTGAGTTCAAAGCTAGCCTGAACTGCAGAGCAAGAGCCTGTCTTAAAAAAAAAAAACAGAAACCACAAGCTAGATTCAGGCCAAAAATGGATTTTATTTGGCTTGCACAGTGATGATGGTGATGGTGAAGTGGAGAAGGAAGACAGAAAAGAAAAAACAGGGCCAGAGATTTAGCTCAGCGGCAAAAGTGCCTGCCTGGCAAGCGTGAGGTATGAGTTCGTTCGATCCCTGGTACCAAAAAAAAAAAAAAAGCAAAAGAACAACATCTTACAAATTTGGATAATTTCACATATAAATGTATATTTCCAGCTTCTCTTGAAAAATCTAAAATTCTGACAGTACTGGATCTGACTTGCCATATGATAAAAACTGACCAAAATTACATAAACCCACTTACATGCAACATATGGTACTAAAGCCACATGTGAATTGGTACTTATTATGCATGTTGTTTGTTTCTTATAAACGTCAAAGAATGTAGAATGCTACTCTTGGTGGGTAAGTGCAGATTTTTAAAAGTACAATCCACGCTTCACATTAACACAGTAAAACAAAACTAGAATCAAAGAAATCAATTTACCTTAATCTGAGTTTGTTCGATTGATTTTTCCCATATCTGCTGATCATATGCTCCAATCTGAAATAAAGAGCAAGCTATTTATATGATGTACAGGCAAATATCTATATTTTAAAGTCAAGTCTCACACGGAAGTCATTAATCTACTAAATATTAATATAGCTGGAAAATGTTTCTGTTTCTCAGATTTACAATAAATTATTTCCCAAAACTACGTCCTTCAAAACTAACATAGCTGGATTTAAAAGTAGGTTAAAAAGCAACATCTAAAATATTTCAAATTAAATAATACCTTAAAAGATATTTCCACTTCTTAAGAAAAACAATTCAATAGGAATACTAGAGAATAGAAGAGTACCAATCTGAGCCATACAGATAAAGGTTCAATCATATCTAGTCTGAACAGAAGTAAACTTTCAAAGCATTGTCACGGCTTGTGTATGCAGTCCAGAGAAGGGAGAGAACTTAAAAATCTTATTCTATGAGCTGGAACTGGGTTTTTAATGACCTTGTACATCCATTTTTCCATTTATGTTGAGATATTGTATAATACCTGGCATTATCAAATTCTGGGAAAAGTAATGTAATATTCCTTGTGGGAAGTTTCTGCTTTGCAAACACAATTACTGATACTACCTTCTTTTGATACCACGATATAGCATCTCTCTCATTTGAGGCCATCTGTGTCTCCAGCCAGAGTGTGTGATTTCACTGAAAACAAAGGAAACCAGTGGGTGAGTCCAGTCGCTGAAGGTTACTCTGGCATTTGGGGAGCTCACGGAGAGCAGCAGTCCCTTTCTCGGACTGGGAGGGGGAGCCCGCAAACGGTTGCCGCGACGGCGGGGACGCTTCTGCAGGACTCTGCGAGCCCGAGTTCAGGGATTCAGGGAAGGACGGGAAAGAGGCGCCTGGGGACACTCGCCCGCCCCCCGCGTCCCCGGCGTTAGACTCTCACCTGGTGCCCGCTGCCAGGCAGGCCGAAGTCCGGGTCCTTCCTCCTCAGTGGCCACGGCCGGGCGGAGAGGCCGGGGGCGAGGCGGCGGGCCCAGCAGGCCGCATCTTCCCCGCAAGGCCGTGACGCCGGCGGGGCCGTTACCATGGAGACCGCGGCGGCCGCACCAGCCTCGGCTGCAGCTGGCGGCCCCGCGCTCCAAAGAGGGCAGTCTGCTGTCACAGACTGCGTGCTCTCCAAGCCCGACCTACCAGTTTAGTGATGGGCCATGAAGTAAAAGAATGGACTGGGCAAGAAAGTGGGCAAGAAAGGGGATTCGAAGGGAAGGGGCCTGCGCTAGGCCGCCACTCACTGCCACAACGGTAAGGCTTTGTTCCCCTCGGAGAAAACCAGGTGCAAAGGCCCAGGGCCCTGGAGGCGGCAGTAGAGCGGTCGCGCGTCCTCACTGGCTCAGGCCCGCTGAGGCGGTGACTCACCCGCACCCGAGCCTGGTGTAGACCGCGGCGCCGCCAGCCTCGGCTTCCGCTTTCCGGCTCTTGCAGCCCAGATGGCTCCGCCCCCGGCCCGGGCCTCCTCTTCAAGACTCTGCCCGGTTCCCGAACCAGGGGCTGGGGAGGCCGCCCTGCTCTCTGCGGCCAGGGACTAGTTCCCTCAGAGCACCCTTAGGTTCCTATTAAAAACCATTTCTGAAAAAAACTACCCCTTGTGCACTCCGGTTCCCCAAGTTCCTGGTTCGCGTCTTTGTTTCATTACTTCATCTTGGTTCCTCAGTGGGGGTCCGTGGGTCTCGAGTTGCAGCCTGCAGGAGCTTGCACACAGGCTTTCTGTAATGGATGAGTGAACGGCCGTTGTGAAGCGCAGAGCATGGCGGAGTGGAAATTAGGCACTCCCTCTCCACTCCTAAGCAGCTCTGGGACTTAAAACTTTGTGGATTGTAAGAGTGCAAGAGGAAGAGGGACAGGGCTGGGGCTGTCACAGGTAGCTTTTCCCAAATTAGAATAAGGGAAGCAGGCCTATGGAGATTGCATCCTCAATTGAATGTTAAGAATATGTTAATACGGTTTGCAAACTGCTTTCTTCCTCCCCTTTGCCGTGAGATTTTTCCCATCTGCCAATAATTCCAACGGCCTTTTTCTTCATCTGAAGCTGTGTTCTTGCCTGCTCACAGAGCCTGGTACACCTAGGTCAGGTAAAGCTAATTACAAATTAGTAACCACCACTTGAGAAAGCCTAAGAGACCTGCCATTAAACATTGTATGCACTTTATCATATCATAATCAACTCGATGGATGTCAAATGGAAGTTATTCTCACTATTCCGATGAGGAAAATTATAGTAAAAGTAGCTCATAGAATATAAAAAGCTTATTTCACTCACATTGGTGGTGGTTTCCTACTGCTCTTACCCGTTGATAGCTTTTCCCTTCCTTACAGCAGAGCATTACAAGTTGGCTTTCAAGTCAAATAGCCAACTTAGATGACAAATGAAAAGCTTTTAATATAATTACTAGCAAAAGCATTTTATTGTTTAGCACATGCAAGGTTTTGGGTGGGGGGACTTGGCAGGTAAATGGAACTGGGAAAGAATGGAAGGTAACACACTTCTTTAGACCTGTCAAAATCTTTTCAGTGCAAAGGGCGGCACTATGTAAGACATGGGCCTTGAACCCAGAACTGCACAAGAAACCCTGCTCCTACTAATTGTGTATATTCAAAGCAATATACTCAGCCTTTCTCACCTGTGTTATGGATTATCTTCTTACTACACAAAAACTGATAAAGGGGGGGGGATCCATTTTGTGCTAGGCACATCCCTGTAACCCTGGTCACTGGAGGCTGAGGTAGATTTGCACGTTTGACGCCAGATGGGGAACTCTGAAAGACCCCATCTCAGAAAGTTACTTTCTAGAATTAGGGGTGTAGCTGCCCCTGTGTTCAAATTCACACTACCAAAATATAGTGTTGTATAAGTGCTACATAGTACATTTGAGAAGTCTATGCACCACTTTCATTACTCCATGCATTTTCAAGAATATCTACAACACCGGAATAAAATATTTAAGATTGTCTCTGCTAAGTACATATAAACCAGCTCAAATAGCAAAAGGCCTAACTGCCACAAAGCCAAGTATAATTTTTATTCTTCCCAAAACTAGCTGTATCTCAGTATGGATGGGTCCTCCCTCATCTACTACCATTTTTAGGGAAAGTAAAAGTCCATGTTGTTTTTGGTTGGTTTTTTTTTTTTTTTTTGGGGGGGGGGGTTGTTTGGTACCAGGAATCAAACACAACCATGTGCTTGCCATGCAGGTGCTGTGCACTGAGCCATAACCCCAGCCCAAGTCCAAGATTTTTCTTTTTTTAATTTTAAATGCTGGAATAAAAAAGGAAGAAAAGAAACAGGTTTCTGGTATCCAGAATTCACATACACTTTGTAATGAAACATCAGTAAAGGACAAATCAGACTTTGTTTATTAAAAAAATACTTTACAGGGAAAAAAAACCTCTATGCATTCCAATGTCCTATTTTACAAAGAAATAGCTTAACAATTTAACACACTTAGACAGCTACAAAAAAGCACTGTTAAAAGGATTATTATTCACACAAATTTGGATTTAAGACTATTCATTAAAAACCTTTTTAAAACACTTGTTAATATCAATAAACAAACTAAGGCCACACAACGCAAATAGTCCGCCAGGCAAATTATACATTTCATCTATATGCAAAGACCTCTTAAGATAAATTAAAACCACAGGAAAAAATTCTTAGCTGCCAATCAAAATGGAGTTTAGTCACAGAAAACACTATTACATGAAAATTTACAACATGTGATAGAAGCAGTACATATTCTTTAGAGGAAATTGAAAAGTGCTATATTTTAAGAGACAGTGGTCTCAACTACATGCACAAGTGGATCTTAAAAAATTTATGAAGAAAATGGAAGGCCATATTTATGGAGAGATACTTGCTTTCAAAAGCAACAAATTTTCAGGATAAGGATGAGTGCTTTACGGCGCTTAGGAAAAACATGTATTGTGCATTTCCTTTACTTGCATGACCAATAAATACAGCTATAACTTGTTTTAAAAACATAAAACAGCACAAATGTGAACCTCTAGCATATGCTACTGAAAGGTTCTTGTTTAAAAACCTATAGTAGTGATGAAACATTAAAAAGATACAAACAATCTTCCTAAAGGTATCAATACAAATAACTTTTTAATGGCAGATGAAAATATAATGGGTTAATATTAATAATTAGGAATATATTCACTAAGTATATTTTCATAGATTTTGGAGTTTTGTTCCTATATTAGCTTTGAGACAATAGTATTTATATAGGTAAAGGCAGTAAGCAAAAGTGTCTCCACTCATTATGACCTTTAAGCCTACTAAGACATCTTTTCCAGGGTTTAGCAAAAATTTAATAAGCTCATTTTCCACTACAAGAGCTTTTAAATATTAGTCACTTGATAATCCAACTGTCTCTGAGAGAACGGGGCACTTTCCAAAAGTCTTTAGCGAAAATTAATGTACCAATTAAACAAATTTTAAATACTGAATAAGCAAATTAAAAGTACAGTTAAGCTTAGGAATTCATTTTTTAAAAGTTTGGAAAAAGGAATCAATATGTAGATTTTTATTGTTATTGCTGAGTATGAGATACTTCCTGGAATCATAATCTTACTCCTTAGCATTATCTTGGTATTTACAGAACGACTTCTGAGCCAAGGGGAAGACTTTTATCCTTTTTAATGGACATTAAAATCATTCTATTTACTATTAGGACTATTCATTTATTAGGTCCTTTCCATAAACACATTTTAAAAATTCCCTCTTCTCCACATTTCTCCATAAAACTTAATAGCCCACATTGTGCAAGTAATCTCAAGAGTTGGCACAACAGATAATATAGCAAAAAGGAAGATCTGCTTAAATTTCACTGCCATCACAACTTTACAAATCAGAAGATGCCAGATTGCTCCATGCCTCACTCCACCAAACCAAGTAATTTATGATTTAGAAAAGTTGCAATCATTTGTATCACTAAAGTAGGATACAGTTTTGAAAGCAGTAAGGAATTCAAAACTTCTGCTTTTATATTCATCAGTCTTTAAAGCATGCTACCAAAATCTAATACTCACATAGTACATTGAGTTTCCAGAGACATTACTAGCTAAGTATTTCTCTCCATTCTATTGCAATTCTAACATACAATGAATTTATTAGTACATGATTTTAAACACCTTTTATATTTTTAATGCATTGGAGGTGAGGGTAGAATGTTTTATAAAAGTAAAATGGGGATTTGCTTTTGATTGTAGGTCTTTGCAGATCCGCTGGTTCCTGAGTGATTATACACAGTGCTGGCTGTCAGGAGACAGTCTCCTTGTTTACTAGTAATGACCAGCTTAGATGACAGATGGCATCTGCTGGATGTCAAGTGGGATGGGAAATCGGATCTTGGAAGACACGAAAAACAAAAACTTTTTGCTTTAACAACCTTGCTCTTCATGATTATTTTAAAAAGCAAATGTTGCCTGAGAAGAATTTTACTTTGCACAGCCTGGTAAAGCTCTATGAAATTCTTCTGGACAGAAAAATAAAAATAAGGAATAACCCAAACCCATACATTTTGTGATTAACTCCTTTCCCACAAAACAACAAAAGAAATACCCTCAAAGTTCCCTTAAAAACTAGTCGTGATAAACTAGGATTTACCGAAGAATTTATACACAGGATTTAAAACACTCCTGCAATAATCACATTACCTTTCATACCATTCTAATTACCTATTTACAAAGATAACTAAAACCAACATCACTTTGAATTCATAAATGGTTTACACACTGAAATGTTTCCCTATTTATCTTCATTCTTTGTAACAGAGAATACATACATATACATATATATAAGGAATAATACAGATTCTAACTAATCACTGTAGTATGTGCTGATGGTTACTTTTCTATCAATTTACACAGTGACCTCTATAACTCTGCTAATATCCATTTAACTACACAACAATATTGCACAAAGTAATATTTATATAAGATTTAACCTATTTCAGAATATTTTAGAGAAAATTCATATTTGATATTTCAAAAGATGCAGCTGTTTTCATGGTGACAGACACAGTAAAGCAGCATCTTTTTTTTTTTTTTTTTGCCTATGTTAATGTAAATATTTCAGATCTCACATCCAAAAAAACAAAACTTCAAATTGCACTGTAACCAGGTAGATACAATAATCTGGTCTTAGGTGTGGGGAGTACTCTTCCTTTAATAAACAAAAGGCCTAGTATAGTATTAACCAAAAGAAAGTATGTGAATGATATTAACATTCTAAAATAATAGAAAGTTAATATCACACTAGCTGTATGAACTGTGCCTGTCTGAAAAAAAGATTAAAAAAACAAATACTCAGGCACTAAGTTTTAGGCTACTCAAAATTCTAGGATGAAACCTAGTGCTGTATTCTTCATTAGAAAATAGCCACACAGAGTAACAGTAAATAAACCCAGTTATTTGCTAGTTAAAACTACAAAGTGTTTCAAAAACAGGTATTTATCATGAATAGGTTGGTGCCAAGTAACAATAGTTTTCCTTAAGTTTGATGCTCAAAACATGGCAGTCTCATCAGAAAGATTGATATTGTTCTCTTAAATTTGTTAATTGTGATCAATTTACAAAGCAAAAGTATCCACATGAAATGTGAGAATCCTAGGGAGCAGAACAACAGAGTATTATGTCAATATTATCTC